GTAACGACCTGATCATTCATGATCTAACTCCAAGATCTAATAGAAAGAGTATCTCTTAAAAAATAAGAAAGCAAAAGAAAATTAATTCTTAGCAACAATTTCAGTGCCATTTGTAGAGGCCTTTTTAGTTTTTTCCAATATTTTCAACCCGTCATTGACTCGGCCAATTGAACCATCACCCAACCAGGATTCTAGGTCCAATTTAGTCAAGACCCGTTAAACGGTAAAAAACCATTGACTTGGTTAAGAATCGTTCGACCTGACCGGTTTGATTGTTGACCCGTTTGACCCAGTGACTGGGTTGCACATTGAACACTCAATGTATGCAAACTTTCGGAGGCCATAACTTTGCATTCCGATGTCTGAGTGGAGTGATTTGTTTTTTTTTTATTTTTTATTTTGGGTAACTATTTGAGATCTATGCATCCCTTAGGCACCTTGCCCCACTATTTTCATGAAAAAACCCCCTTTTTTGGCCTCAAATTGCAATTTTTAATAATTTTATAAAAACAATAATTAAAAACTGAGTTGAAAAACATAAATTAAATATAAAATAATACATATAACATATCTAAAATACATTACATAAATATATATAGGATCTCATTTTTTCTTTATTTTTAATAAAAATCTTTTATATTAAGAAGAATAAAGATGCATAACACATTAGTTGAGGAATTGTGAAAACTAGAATTCAACAATTTTACCCCGTTTTCAGTGATCTAAATGTTTTATTAAATTTCACATATTGTTCATCAAATTTAATAAAAGTTTTATTAAATTTCGCATATTGTTCATCAAATTTAATAAAAGTTTTATTAAATTTCGTATGGTAGTGATCAAGGTACTACTGGGGCAGGGACGTGGTTATATGTCATGTCTAAGAGTCAAGCAAGTCAAGACGTGATTACATGTCATCCAACAACTATTCCAGTGACGTGGTTGGTCATTATATTATTGCATTAATGGATCATGCCTATAAATATGTTAATTGTAGACCGGACTGGCTCTTTCCCTTTGGGTTTCAGAAGGATCAGGATGGTCTGATTAGGTTTTTGAGGGTGAGTTGGGGGCTCAGACAAAGGATTGGACAAAAATCAGGTACTGACAACTGCCCCTCTTTGTAGTAAAGGTAGTAGGCTACGGAACAACAAAGACCAAAAAAAGAACATGGAGATTTTTACAAAGGGTAGGCTTAGAGGATGGTCAAGGCAAGGAAGAAGGGTGCCCGTGCAATGACCCCTCCTAGGTATTAAGGAACCTTATGAAATCAAGGTATATTTGTCATAATGAAAAACACAAAAATGATGTTAGAAGAAATTAAAACAATTGAACATGTTAAAACTATTTACTTTGGGAAAAGTGACCCCTCCTAAAACAATTGCCACGTGTCAAGCTTTTTAGAAAATGAGAAGGCCACACTTGTCTAAATGGTGGTAGTGGGCTATAAGCTTTAACAGCAACTTCTTAGAAAATATCATGTGTCTAAATTTGAAAAAGCCACATGTTTGAATGATGGGGGCTGTAGCCTGAAAGCCTTAAATAGATAGATAGATATTAGATTTGCTTAAATTATAATATTATATTAAATATAATTTAAAAATAAGTAAATAATTAAATATTATAAAATGATACACACAATATGAACCTATGGCCACAGAGCACAAGACTGGATCCGTTTCCAACAAAAAATACACATCCAAAACGTTCCAACGTGACCTAACACCGCACATACTCTCGAACGAGTCTAGATCTCCTACCTATGAGAACTCTGCTCACGTTTATCGCGGCCACACATGGAGAACATCTCATCCTCTGCATAGTATTATGCAAGGGGAGATGTTTCCAATTCACAGGGGAGTAGCATTTTGTGGGTAGGTGTGGGCAGAGTTCTCGTGGGCAAGAGATCCGGAGTCCTCTCGAACATGGTGGGGAGTTGGGATCTCCTAAGAAAATCTGTTCCAACTCTTCCCAAATGTTGAAACGGTTTTTGTTGGAATGAGACTTAGGCTCCATGGTGGCTCCCAAATGTGCGGTCCTATTGGGAGACTCCGGATCTCCTGTCCACGATAACTCTACCCCTATTTACTCACAACATACTAGCCGCGTAAATTGAAAACATCTCCCATGCATAATACTATGTAGGAGGATGAGGTGTTCTCCATGTATGGCTGTTGATGTACCATTAGGGTAGGCTTCGGTTGAACAATTTTGTTTTGTTTTTTTTTTTTTTGCTTGAAATATTCGAATGAGCATCTGTTGAATTTGAAATGACCCTTATTTTACGGTTTGTAGGTAGAGCCGTAGAGGGTTCATCTGAAATGGCTGAATTGGATAAGCAATTAAGTGTGGTTAGGCTCCTTAATTTCTGAATGACATGTTAGAGTGATTAATTAATATTTTCGTCTAAATATTTGATTATTTGCAATTATAAAATTAATGAAACATCAGTTTGGCGTCATTTCCTAGAAGAAATTTGCCTTAATGGTGAAGAAATCCCAAACACCAGTCTTTGGGATTTTATTTTGGTAACCAAGTGCTAGTGATAGGCATGGTTAGAAGTATAAGAATATGAGGAAAGCAAATTCTAAGAAATGAGGATGCATTTGAAAGGCAAATGTTTCAAAGTACAAGTGGGAAGATATCGTCCCATTGTTGTTAAATACTCAAAACTACCACAGACATGAGTACATCATTCTATATTTCTATTGTCAATCCAAGTCGTCTGAAAACAAATGACTCGTTGACTAAAAGTTTTTGGTTTTTTCGTGGCACTTTCTTTGGATTTATTTTCTCTTACAGACCTTTCAGGGTGGGCCCTTAGGTTTTTGTGGGTCCTCGATTATATTTTTCTTTTTGTTACTTTTTGGATGGGCTTTTGACTCGGCAACCCTTTTCGTGTTAATATTTTATTATTTAAATTATAAAATTAATGAATCAGTCTTTGGAGTCATTTCTTTGAAAAAATTTGCCTTAATGGTGAAGAAATCCCAAACATCAGTCTTTGGATTTTATTTTGGTAACCAAGTGATAGGCATGTTTAGAAGTATAGAATATTAGATATCAGGTAGGTAAATTCTGCTAAGTAAGGATGCATTTGTTTCAAAGTACAAGTGGGAAACGAATCGGTGATTGAACCGGTCAGAGGTCTGGTTACTGGTTTGAATGGTCTGACCATTCGACTTAAATGATCGGTCCATTTTGACAAAAAATAAAAAAATTTAAAAATTGAAAAACGGTCCAAACCGTTTGAATGGTTGAAATAATTTAAACAGTTAATCAATCGTTACAACGGTTTATTGATCCAAATCAACGGTTTTGGAAGAAAAAGCGATTTCGGAGAAAAACAGAACCGATCATGTGACCGGTTCTTAGTTTTTCTGCCGTGACTATCCGATCCGATCCGATCCGGTTTTAAAAACAGTATTCTATATTATATATAGTCAATTCAAGTCATCTGAAAATAAATAACTCGTTGACAATTATAGCCCTATTTCTTAACTACAAGTTTTTTTTTTTTTTAGTTTTTTGTGGGTCCTTGATTGTACTTCTATTTTTCTATATTTTTTGGATGGGCTTTTGGCTCGGCAGCCCTTCAACTTTGCAAAAAAGGCTGTTTCGACTTTAAACAATGAAAAGGTCATTTTTATCCCTAAACTTTGATAAGAAAGCCATTTGTAAAGAAAAAAATGGTATTTGAAAATGGTGTTGCGTGTTGATAAATCCAATATACAATGTTTAAGTGACACTGTTAAAAGTTTGAAAAATGCCACGTTCAATCCTAAAGATTTTCCCAACTGTATTTACGACCCAATCCACACTGTATTTGAATCTGGGCGAAATATGAAATGGAATTGGGCAACTGACTGAGTATTTGGCCGAATAGTTTCACTGCCTGGGTTTAAAAATGTTACTAGATAATTGAAAAATCTTGGGTTGAACAATTTGACCGTCCAAAATTTTTAACTTGGTCAACAAATTGCTGACCTAAACTATTGAACCCCTAAACTATTTGATCCGATAAATGGTTTTTGGGTCATTTTTTTATTGTAATTATATTTTATTTTTTATTTTTCAAAATATCATGGATTGATCCATATTGGAACCAAACAATTGAATCATTGACCTAAGAAACAATGACCAATGTGGTCTTATTTTGGGTTGGTTTTTAAAACCATGCTTAATTGAATTAATTAATTTATTTAGATCAATTAACTTTGGTTATTAAATTTAATTAATTAACTTCGCTTCTTTAATTAATTTGCTTAATTCATTTAATTAACTTAATTATGTAAGTTAAATAATTTAACGACATTTATTTGGAGGTTGAAGTAATGCCATTTCAAACACCATCTATTTCAAGCATCATCTATTTTTATCAAAGCTTAGGATAAAAGATGACCTTTCCTATTCTTTAGGATGAAAATTGGTCTGAGGAGTTGTGAGAAGTAGGTTTCAGCAATTTACCCCGTTTTCAGTGATCTAAATGTGTTATTAAATTTCTTATACTGTTCATCAAATTTAATAAAAGTTTTATTAAATTTCGTGTGGTAGTGATCGAGGTACTAATGGGGCAGGAACGTGGTAAGATGTCAAGTCTGAGAGTCAATACGCGGTTACATGTCTATTCCAGTCAAGTCAAGTCAATACGCGGTGACATGTCTATTCCAGTGAAGTGGTTGGTCATTCTATTACGGGGGAATGACTGATCAGTCCAGATCAGAATTGTAAACTATGAGGGGCTGTCATTCAGAATTATACATTGGCTTGCAGAGTACTTGACCCTTCTATTATTGCATTCATGGATCACGCCTATAAATATGTTAGTTGTAGACGGGCTCCTTCCCTCATCAGTCACCACTGCTGAACAAAATTACATCAAAATTGCTTAGACATGGCAGCCAGACCAGTAGTTGTGCTTCTTTCTCTTCTGTTATTTGCCCTGGTTGTGAGGTCACAAGCAGGAGGAATAGCAGTCTATTGGGGCCAAGACGGAGGAGAAGGTAGTTTGGCTGATACATGTGCCACAGGCAACTATCAGTTTGTGAACATTGCCTTTCTAGTTGCATTTGGCGATGGCAAGACTCCACAGCTCAATTTAGCTGGTCATTGTGACCCAACCTCAAATGGTTGCACCGGTTTGAGTAGTGATATAAAAGCTTGCCAGAGCCAAAGCATTAAAGTGCTTCTTTCCCTTGGAGGTAGCAATGGAAGGAACTCCCTTTCTTCTGCGGATGATGCTCAGCAAGTCGCAAACTACCTTTGGAACAACTTCTTGGGAGGMCAGTCAGATTTACGTCCATTAGGGGACGCTGTTCTGGACGGAATCGACTTTGACATCGAGGATGGCACGAACCAGCACTGGGACGAGTTGGCTAAGGCTCTTAATGGATTCGGTTCTAAGGTTTACTTG